ATTGCTGAGTGTGGCGCTAAAAAACCACCAAAGCATACAAGGGAAGGCTCTGCAGATAACATCTACATCGAGTTTATGTGTAGTATGTTGAGAAGACGAGCAAAGGTGCTGAATGCTTCGCTTGAATAATCACTGGATTATCTGGTCCAGATTCGATTATTTAATGACCGTGGTGGTATAGCTCAATTAGTGATGTGTGTGACGTTAAGCTAACTAAACAGGTTGCTGTGACAAAGATATATATGTTTTTTCTGACAGCAACGTGAAATAAAATACATGTACTGTGTCATAAGAGCACTGACGGTTCTAAAGAAACAAATCGCATGGACAGCATGATATGTTTTGCATTAAAGTTTTATTCTGTAAGAAATACAAAAAGAGAACTCAATTATTCGTGCAAAAAATGAAAACTCGAAATAATTGTTTATATCACCGAGCTGTGGTCAGTGTTCACGGGAAGATCCGGGTTAGAATTGATCTTCAGTAACCCGTGCTTGTCGCAAGAGCCGACTAACGGGATCTGGTGGTCAGGCTCGCTGACTCGCTTGATTCAGGCAATCGTATCCTAATTGTTGATCGATGTTCACGATGTTAATCACTGGATTGTCTGATCCAGACTTGATTATTTAAGGACCGTCTTCATGGTCATTGGAAACTGGGCAGCGTTAAACAATAAGCTAACAAGCAAACGAACGAAATTGGTGTCATAGTTCTCATCACGTTATCGTAGCACATGTCTCACGTCTCTCCGTCGTCGAGGCTTCATCCACACATCCCACCACCAAGATTTGCTGATCTCTGAAAAGCAGGAAATATGACCAAAATAACACTTTGGATTTGGGATAACGTGCTAAAGAAATACTTTTGATCGATGGTCTAAGGAAGTGCAGAGTTGAATCAAGCAGTTAGAATAATACAATTCCAATGAAAATCGACCCATGAAGATCCGCGTAAGAATTGATCGTCAGTAACCAATGCTTGTCATAAGAGGCGACTAACGGGATCGGGTGGTCAGGCCTGATGACTTGGTTGACACATGTCATTGTATCCCAGTTGCGTAGTAGATCTATGCCCATGCTGTTGATCCCTGGGTTCTTTGGTCCTCGATTATTTACAGACCGCCGCCATATAGCTGGTATATTGCTGAATGCAGCGTAAAACTAAACTCAATCACTCACTCACTCCAATGAAAATCACTTAAAATGTACATATGTACATGTATTACAGAGCAAATGACGTATATTTCATCCTCATTTTTTACTGTTATTTACAGATTGGAATAAAAAGGTATTTCGAGACCAACTGGTCTGATTCCGGTCTTCTTATAGGATAATGAAAGGGGCGAGTCTTGACGAATGAAAATAAATGCCGCAAAGAGAGTTTTAGTGGTCCTGGCAGAGTAAGACTGGTTGTGGCGAATCATGATTTCAGGACCCTTGTCCTCCTTCACAAGCAGCCCAGACACCGAACGGGACTTCTCCCTGCATAGTCGAACCTACCAAGAACTTTCCGGAGAATTCGTAGACTCTCCAAAACTGCAGCCTTCTGCAGTACCCTGAGTGTCAGAAAGTGCGTGTTCCTGGGAACACCGGTCAAGTTCATACTCGGGATTCAAAGGTGACATTTCGTAAGCGAGTTCCACATTCATGTGTCTCCCATGTTTTGTCCCGAGTCTTGTCAATCAGAATAGGGTTCAAATGGACAGAGAATTCAGTAATAATTTTGATTTCATTGGATTTATCAAAAAGTAGAAGGTCCGATACGCTTGCTTTAATACGTCTGAGGCTACAAATGCGCCCATTCCAAAGAATCTTATACTTCTCTTATTAATAAGTTATTATAATAACGTTGTCTAGAGCTTCTGTGGGTGAGTTGACTTATTGATGTATACACCGAAACTCACTTTTGATGCAGTCAACTTCGTTTTCATCCATGGCGTAGCCATCTGGGCATGCGCAGACGTTAGTTCCGTTCGTGCCAGGGAAGCATATATAGGAACATCCGCCATTGTTGTCACTGCATCCATTTGTTACTATAAACACAGAAGAAGATGTTACACACTCTAAACAAGCTACCAGTAAAACAAAATATCAAAGATTTTTACATATATATTTACAATTTAAAATGGAATACAACACGACAAGGAAACAGTGAAAGTAAGTGTCTTTGTCCTGACATAAAATGTTGTGTCCTGTCGGGTCTTTTATAAAAATCAAAATCCTACATTAACGCTCAAGCATGTAACATCTGAGGATATTATGGATATCTGACAGATTCATATTGCGACGGTTTCAATTATGAGTGGAATGCAAAACCGGAAGTACCTGTTTTGTAATCGCTCTGTCTGTAGGCGCGGATGTCTGACAGGTAGCGGAAAGAGGGTAACTTTGTCTTGACGAGTCCTGTACCGTCAACGTTTACCCTTGTCACAACGCTGCTTTGAAAAAAACAATGTCCGTTTTGAAAATGTGACTGGACAGGGAGAATTTGTGAAATATAGATAAAGTCATGGAAACAATAAGGGAACATATGAAAGTACAAGTGTTCCTTTATTCTTTTCATGAATTTCACGCAGAGAGCAATACAAAGCTTGTGAAACATGGAAAGAATAAAGGAACACTTGTACTTTCAGGTGTTCCCTTATTCGTTTCTTTGAGATATATTTACCTGGTATTGTGGGGAGGAGGGGTTACAATTAGATGTTTACCTGGTATTGTGGGGAGGAGGGGTTATGTATGGGTTAATCACTCTTACAAGGTAGTTATTTAAATATCTACCGTAGTGAGGGTGATTAAACGGCTTACACCATGAGGACATACTTATTTAATACGCGTGTAATGTATTAGGCATGATGAAGATTATCAAGATGAGTACAATTTTATGTTTTTAAATAGAAATAATTGCCCTAGGGCACTTATTCATTTATGCTAATAAAACACTTCCAAGAATAATGGACTTTTTCTAGTGGTTTAAAACTAGATTATTAACTGCTACTGTGGGGAAGAGGAGTTACATTTAGATAATAGCGGGAACCTATCTGCTATAGTGGGTAATGAATGTGCATAGGTGCGTGCGCGTGCGTGCGTGCGCGCGCGTGTGTGAGTGTGGTCATTTATACATTAAGGGACACACCTGGTATTGTTGGTAATTGTGGGGATGGGATGGGTACATGTATATGTTCCTAGTATTGATGGTTGTGGTGGAAGTTTACGTACAGTTACAGTTTCTACATGTATTTACCTGGAATTGTGTGAGATGGCAGAATAGAAGAGGAAGTCGTTGAAGACAGCGATGGCGGAGGGGTAGTTGTCTGTCGTCAAGAGCGTAGTTCTGTTTCCGTCTTTCAAGTCCATCATCTCCAATGTCTTCGACCCAGCGTCACTCCAGTACATCTTCCCGGCTGGAGAATACACGTATACACGTATATGTGAGTGAGTGAGTATGGTTTAACGCCGCCTTTAGCAATATTCCAGCAATATCACGGCGGAGGACACCAGAAATGGGCTTCACACATTGTACCCATGTGGGGAATCGAACCCGGGTCTTCGGCGTGACGAGCGAACGCTTTAACCACTTGGCTACCCCACCGCCTTACACGTATATGTAGAAATCATTAATGACATTATTGATGAGAACGCGGTTAAAAATATTTTCTGCTCCAAAAATGGCAGCATTAGGCTTTAGTACAGTGGCATACACCTGCAGAAATTATCTTAAAAACATATTTGAAATTTATGTAAAAACTTTGCAAAACCAAAACGCTGTTTTCGGTATTCGAGTTCCATGATTCTTGTGGTAGGTGATAATCCATGGAAACTTCATGAGAGAAACATTAAACGTAATACTGGCAATATATCAGCCATAACAAATAGTCCAGCTTCTCACCACCACTGTCCAGTGTTAGTCCCTCCGGCCATATGGAATTGACCAACACCTCACGGTCAGAACCGTCGTAGTTGGCTCGCTCTATCCTGTTGTCTTCACCCCAGTCTGTCCAGTACATCACTCTGAAACACGTGACGTGAATTATAGTTATGTCCACACTTTTTTATTACTTGGTCTACGGATCCCCCGACTGTAAAAAAAATATAATTTCAGTTTTGCCATTTTTTAAATACCGCCGATAGATAAAATCCAAATGAATATTTATAAAATCTACTTGATTGAAAACGGATTTCTATTACGAATTTAGCATCTGGGCAACACAGACATTTTAAATATTGAAACAAATAAAATCGCCGAATTAACGTTACCGAGTGAAAAGGCTGTTATGTAACCTTATTATAGTAGGAAATGAGAACATCTGAATGGTTGATTCTATTTTTTTAAACAGCCTACTTGTGGTGAAAGCCACTTATAGGAAAAAACCCTACCGGCAGGAATATTGCTGTAAAATGTTCGTAAACCAAGTAATAAAAAAGTGTGGCCTAATGAGATTTGTTTGTTTGTGTATTGTTTTACGCCGCACTCAGCAATATTCCAGCTATATGACGGCGGTCTGTATAAAATCGAGTTTGGACCATACAACCCAGATGCTGGTATCATGGGCACACACAATTGGGATACGATGATATGTGTCAACCAAGTCAGCGAGTCTGACCACCCGGTCCCGTTAGTCGCCTCCTACGACAAGGATGGGTTACTGAAGACCAAGTCTAACCTGGATCTTCACGAGTGTGAGTGAATGAGATTCGAATTTGAGATGTTGTACCAGCAATAGAGGTAGCAATCAATTTGTGTGATCTACTGGATTCGTGATTATACCACTAACTTATTCATGAGTTACATAATATTATGACACGTCAATCACAAACTATTATCAGCATGTTGTCTTTTGAAATATAAACCGCAAGTCGACAGATGCCAACTGTTTGTGCTCTGGACATCATTTGTGTCTTCTGACAACTACAGCATCGTAGATGATAGCTACAATATCCTACCTACCCGTGTAAGGGATCCACCTCGATATGTCTCGGCATGTAGGTCGCAGCTCTTATTACTATCTTGTGATATTTTGTATCCATGGTTACCACACCAATGACGTCATTGCCTTTGTCGGTGTAGAATATGAGTCTTGATACAGGGTCAATTGTTATACCATCTACAGAGGCAGCTGCAAAGGTGAGGTGAGGTGAGGAGGTGAAATTGAGTTTTACGTCGTGTTTGAGAATCTTTCGCTCATATGACGACGTGCATGCGTGTGTATGTGTATGTGCGCTGCTTGTACTAGCCCAGACTTAAGCTGGTTTTATAGTGCTAGGCCACTGAGATAACTTGCCGCAGTGAAGCATGAATACCCCTCTCAGACACATTATACTGACTCCGAGCCGACCAGTCCTTGTTGTACCTATTAATGCCGAGCGCCAGGCAGGGACCAACAAGTACCATATTTTAACGTCTTTTGGTATGACGCGGTCGGGGATCGAACCCGCGACCTTCCGCTCTCCGGGAGGACGCTCTAACCACTACACCACGAAGGCGGTGCAGGCAAAGGTGAAGAAAATACTTTAGACTAATGTGAACATTGTGTCTATAGCCATCGTATCAATATTGTATAACGCCAATTTATATTATTTGTACTGGGCTCAAAAGGAATGCATTTTTGTGGAGAGGGCACGTGAAACAACGACTGAGGGATCTAGTTCACCAAATTTCGTTGTTAAGAGTTGCGTCCCCATAGTATTGGCAGGATCAGCTAATCCTAGGTTTGAAAGCCCGGTCAGCCCTCACTATTATTATTGGTAGGTAAACATTGACCTTTGGATTTTCCCTGTCAAAAATGAAGTACTGATCGAAGCGGTACGTGTTAATCCATTCAGTAGGCTTTCGTCTCCATAGACACGAGAGAGTTAGTGAGTGAGCATGGGTTTACGCCGCATTTAGCAATATTCCAGCAATATCGCGGCAGAGGACACCCGAGTCTTCGGCATGACAAGTCGAACGCTTTAACCACTAGGCTACCCCACCGCCCCTCATTTTGCCACAAGTATAGTGCGATATTCACTCACCCCAGTTGAGCTTTATGTACGTCTTGCTGTGTGTGGGCCCAACACTGTGTATTGCAGGTCTATATTTGTCAGCATAGAAGATGTGGTTTCGTTACAGGGTCGTATCCAGATGACCCCAGTCTCACGTTGTCCGGCAAGGCCACAGGCTTCAGTGTGAAGTCGGACATGTTGACAGACCAGATGTGGCCAGTGATGGGGTCAGTGAGAAGCATGAAGGCATCAGCAGGAGGAGCTGAAATAGTAAGATGTGACATGATGTGACATGATGTGACCAGTGATGTGACCAGTGAGAAGCATGAAGGCATCGCGATGCAGGAGGAGCTGCAATAGTAAGATGTGACATGATGTGACCAGTGATGGGGTCAGTGAGAAGCATAATGGGCATCAGCAGGGGGAGCTGCAATAGTAAGATGTGATAGGGGAGCTGAGGAGCTGCAATAATGCATGAGTATAGATGTGACAATAGTAAGATGTGACCTGATGTGACCAGTGATGGGGTCAGTGAGAAGCATGAAGGCATCGGCAGGAGGAGCTGCAATAGTAAGATGTGACATGATGTGATCAGTGATAGGGTCAATGAGAAGCATGAAGGCGTCGGCAGGAGGAGCTGCAATAGTAAGATGTGACATGATGTGACCAGTACATTTATGAGGTGAGTGATGGGGTCAGTGACGGGCCCAGTGATGGGACTAGTGATGAGGTCCAATGAAGTGTCCAGTGATGAGGTCGGTGATGGGTCGAGTGATGTTCTCAGTGAGAGGATCAGTGATGTGGGCAGTGATGATGTCCACCTACGTGACCAATGACGATGACAGTAATGGGGTCAATGATGTGGCAAGTGAGGATGTATGTGATGGAACCAGTGATGGAACCAGTGGTTATCACAAACATTTATCAGTGAGAGGTGCAGTGTGATTTCAAGATTTCCTAACTATTCCAACTTATACCTATACATTCAGATGCCAAGCTTGACCCCAAGAACTTGGTGTTATGGGCAGCTGGACACACGTCGCACTTCAACTTCCCTTGTTCCTCCTGGTACCAGCCTCGATCGCACTCAACACACGTGTCGTTGTCGGACACCGATCCGGGGGCACATGACGCTGAAACACAACAGAAACTTATTTATACCCCAAGCTGGGAGATTTGTCAAACGACGTACACATGAGCCATTGCCAAATTGTGCCATGGAGTATATACGCCCCGAAAACATGAACGATCATCGTTGTGGTGTAGACTTAAAGTGATGCTTTTCGTTCACATGACCACGGCATTTGTCAGCCGCTTCTTCGTCCCGATCGGCTGGAATACAGTTGGAATTTTAGAATTTTCTATAAGAGGTTTGAAGCCATCCTCATAATGGTTGGGAATGCCCATTATAAACCATTGTGTCTCGAAGGTTACTCTATATTTTTAACAATCCTAACAGTAGTGTTTTGGATTCCACATGATCAGCAGACACTTAAATGAAAGTCTGAGTATAAAATATTTTATATCGTAAACAGTCAGAAAGTGTACCTTTGGACATCTCAAGGGCAAGCAAAACAATTACCATACATACCACTCTTCTAATATTTAAATGACAGTTCAGGGAAAATTGTCACCAATCAATCGGTGGGTTATTTCAAGTTCATTTCGTGAAAATGGATCTATTTTACTTGTCCAAAATGATAACATATGGAATTATTCCTGACAGTGTAAAAGTTTGAGATATGTTATAGTGATATATTTTACGAAACATAAACGTCAGAAATGGAGAAGCCAGGATGCTCATGAATGCCACTATTATACACTCACTGCAGTAGCCTTGGTCCGGGACTGACCCCACTGGACATGCAAGGTCACTGTCTGCAATGGACGTCCCTGGCTGGACTGGACCATCTGCCAGTGTCACCTGGAAGCACGCCTTATACATCTCCTCCAGGTCATTGTAGCTGTCGTTCAAGGACGAGTAGGCCTGTGCAAGATTCTTCCTTGTCTCGGCAGCTGAAAATAGTTTGCACTTGCACAGTGTCTATGGATACAGTGTCTATGGATACCAAATTTCTTAAACCTGTCCCCGACAGGACTTGATAACGATAAGATAATAATTAAATAAATCCGATATGCAATTACTACTGCAACTAATACAATTACTACTACTAAAACAGTAAGCGGTGGGTTAGCCCAGTGGTTAAAGCTTTCGCTCGTCACGTCGAAGACCCGGGTTCGATCCCCCCCACAAAGGTACAATGTATGAAGCCCATTTCTAGTGTACCTTGTCGTGATATTGCTGGAATATTGCTAAGAGCGGCGTAAAACTAAACTAAACAAGAAAAAACAAAACAAGCTTCATTATAAAACGTATACGCTTCCCCAAGGATAGGAATGCACAAAGCACATAAACGGTTTCGTGTGGTGTGCATTCCGACGTCTTAAAGGAGTATTTAACCCAATGTACACGGATAATTTGCATTCACAAAACCATTTAAACATTATGTATTCCATGCTTGGTTTAACATAGAAAAAAATCGAATTACCCAGTTTGGATACCCACACCCGTGAAATATATTGACCGAAACGAAATATGAATAATTTGCTCTGACCTACTATATTGTCAATTCCCACTCTATTATGATCTCTCCACTAATGTCTTTGAATGCGTACCACTCCAGTTACTGACAACCAAGTTAGCTCTGAACTTCATTTTCGCCTTGTATCCTTCAGGAAACTGTCCACATCCTCCAGCCTCCCGTTGACACGTTTCCACGGCAACTACGACGGTGCAAGCCTCGTTCTGAACACAGGAAGTGTTTGACGCACAGACAGCCGCTTTCTGTTCGATAACGGCAGCATCGTCTGTCATGTTGGGGCCGACTCGTGTCTTGTAAGGGATGATGTATTCAAACGCTACGTTATCCGGGATCTGGAAACCTGAAAAAGGTCACAGGCGAGATCGTCAGCCGGAGTTTACGGCAATGATTTCCATCAGTAATCGAAACATTCCACATCAGCCCGGCATTTTGACCACCCGATCCGTATAAAGATGGATACTGGGATAAGCTTTCAATTATTACCTCATATTATGGACGTTATATTTGTCGGGGATGGATCAAATCTCAAACTTACATTTTGTACCACTATTCCATTTTTTCCCATTGTAGCGCAGTGTAAGGGACCGTTCATAATTTATGGCTAGGGGGTGTGGAGGTGATGATGATTTTAAGGGGGGTCACTGATTTTGTTCTCGGTGTGTGTGTGTGTGTGTGTGTGTGTGTGTGTGTGTGTGTGTGTGTGTGTGTGTGTGTGTGTGTGTGTGTGTGTGTGTGTGTGTGATCAATTGTGTACACATGTACTAGGGGGGTCAGCAATTTTGTACATAGAAATATAAAAAAAATATGCTTATAAATATGGGAAGGGGGAGGGGTGCGTCTATGGTTTTGTACATTACATGCAGGGTGTGTGTGTTGTCACTTACTGTGTACATAAATTTTAGGGGGGGTGATCAGTCACATTGTACTTGCTTCACCATAAAACAGCATCATCACCTCCCAAGCCATAAGTTATGAACGGTCCCTAAGTAAAGTAACATTCCTTTATCGATCGTATTGTATACATTAGGTTTGTACTCACGGACGCAAGATATTGTCTTTGCCTTAGGGGTCCATAATTCTTCATGGCACTGATACAATGGAGGGTCCTCTTGGAACACCAGACCCTCATCACATGACACTGAGCAGTTCATGGCGGCTTTCGACTCGTTGGTGCAGGTGACACTTACGCCCTTGCTCACGGTCAGCTGAGACTCCTTGCATTCTGAAAATATAAGAGAATTTGCTTTATTTGTACTGTGAAATATTATCGATATTTCTATTATAATATAAGGCAGCATTTGGTTGAGAGAACCGGTCTCCGATGGCACGTTATGAAACTTGTTTTTTTACAGCAAAGGACCTAAATTGTCATAAACGAGGTTAACTTCGTGAAGGAATAGCGGGTTATCATTACAACTGTCTTGAAATATTAGGTACGCTTAGTAAATATGGTGTTGAGGTAATACGTGAATAAAAATGGAATGCTCTTTTTGTTATCCTCAGCAACATTATCGCTTGGAAAGATACCAAAAATTACAGGAATAAATATTGACGAGTGCATTGAACGGTATTTCATCGAAACCGTTATTTTTAATTTAACATTCTTCGTCACCATGTACCCGTGAAGATCCGGGTTGGAATTGGTCTTCAGCAACCCATGCGTATCGTCAGAAGCGACAAACGGGATTGGGTGGTCAGGCTCGCTGACTTGGTTGACACATAATGTTGATCACTGGATTGTCTGGTCCAGACTCGATTATTTATAGATCGCCGCCATATAGCTGGAATATTGCTGAGTGCGGCGTTAAACAACAATCAATCAATCGTCACCATGTCCAACCATCTCAGTGCAGACAACGCAGGTGTGGAACACCATCATTACCTGGGCAACTGTTCTCATTACAAACATCTGTGTCTTCAGCAGGTCCATCACATGGTTTCCCGAGATCAGGCTCAGGCTCTGGATTGTCACAGCGTCTTGACCTTGACCTTACACCCCCGCCACAGGTCAAAGAGCACGATGACCATGGGGTCCATGTGCTCCAATTTCCATGAACTAGAAGAATCACAACAAATACGGTGGCCAAAAATATAACTCCGCAATTGGTTCTCTCTCTCTCTTTCTCTCAAATGGATATATCTCTCACGCTCCCCTATTCTCTCTCTCTCCCGACTCTCTGCCTCTTTCTCTCAATTGTTATACATATATATTTATATATATATCTGAATTGGTTATATAGCTCTCTCGCCCTCGCTCTCCCCTCCCGATCTTTACTTACTTACGCGCTCTTTAAGAAGTCTTAACTGGCGTCTCACAGTGTCTCCCAGTTTCACCCCTAAGAAGTCCTACTACTGGCTGTGCGAAGTCTCACAGTGTGTCACCCCATGAAGTCCTACTAACTGGCGTCTCACAGTGTCACCCCATGAAGTCCTACTAACTGGCGTCTCACAGTGTCACCCCATGAAGTCCTACTAACTGGCGTCTCACAGTGTCACCCCATGAAGTCCTAACTGGCGTCTCACAGTGTCACCCCATGAAGTCCTACTAACTGGCGTCTCACAGTGTCACCCCATGAAGTCCTACTAACTGGCGTCTCACAGTGTCACCCCATGAAGTCCTACTAACTGGCGTCTCACAGTGTCACCCCATGAAGTCTACTGTCACCCCATGAAGTCCTACTAACTGGCGTCTCACAGTGTCACCCCATGAAGTCCTACTAACTGGCGTCTCACAGTGTCACCCCATGAAGTCCTACTAACTGGCGTCTCCCAGTGTCACCCCATGAAGTCTACTAACTGGCGTCTCACAGTGTCACCCCAAGAAGTCCTACTAACTGGCGTCTCACAGTGTCACCCACAGTGTCATGAAGTCCTACTAACTGGCGTCTCCCAGTGTCACCCCATGAAGTCCTACTAGCTGGCGTCTCACAGTGTCACCCCGAGAAGTCCTACTAACTGGCGTCTCACAGTGTCACCCCATGAAGTCCTAGTAACTGGCGTCTCACAGTGTCACCCCATGAAGTCTACTAACTGGCGTCTCACAGTGTCACCCCATGTAGTCCTACTAACTGGCGTCTCACAGTGTCACCCCGAGAAGTCCTACTAACTGTCCACAGTGTCACTAAGTCTGGCGTCTCACAGTGTCACCCAATGAAGTCCTACTAACTGGCGTCTCACAGTGTCACCCCAAGAAGTCCTACTAACTGGCGTCTCACAGTGACGAAGTCTCTAACTGGCGTCTCCCAGTGTCACCCCCATGAAGTCCTACTAACTGGCACAGTGTCACCCCATGAAGTCCTACTAACTGGCGTCTCCCAGTGTCACCCCATGAAGTCCTACTAACTGGCGTCTCACAGTGTCACCCCCTCAGACCCCATGAAGTCCACTAACTGGCGTCCTGCTGGCGTCTCCCAGTGTCACCCCATGAAGTCTACTAACTGGCGTCTCACAGTGTCACCCCATGAAGTCCTACTAACTGGCGTCTCACAGTGTCACCCCATGAAGTCCTACTAACTGGCGTCTCACAGTGTCACCCCATGAAGTCCTACTAACTGGCGTCTCACAGTGTCACCCCATGAAGTCCTACTAACTGGCGTCTTACTGGCGTCTCCCAGTGTCACCCCATGAAGTCCTACTAACTGGCGTCTCACAGTGTCACCCCATGAAGTGGCGTCTCACAGTGTCACCCCATGAAGTCCTACTAACTGGCGTCTCACAGTGTCACCCCATGAAGTCCTACTAACTGGCGTCTACTAACCGGCAGTGCCCCCAGAAGTCCTACTAACTGGCGTCTCTCAGTGTCACCCCATGAAGTCTCCTACTAACCCAATGTCTCTCACAGTGTCACCCCATGAAGTCCTACTAACTGGCGTCTTACAGTGTCACCCCATGAAGTCCTACTAACTGGCGTCTCACAGTGTCACCCGATGAAGTCCTACTAACTGGCGTCTCACAGTGTCACCCGATGAAGTCCTACTAACTGGCGTCTCACAAGGCAGTCTTACCTATTGTTATTTCACAATACTGTCCCTTATAGTCGTCAGTGCAGGTACAGTTCACCCCTCCCTTGATATTCTCACACATGGCGTCATGCTGACACTTGTTGTCCACGACACAGTAGTCCGGGGGTATGTCGCACGTGGCACCAGAGAAGCCTCCTTTACACGTGCACTGGAAGCCATACTTGAACGATCGACAGTAGTGGTCGGGGCAGGGGTGGGGTGAACATCGGTCGATCTCTGTGGGGAAACAAGTCTTACAGAAAACACACTTCTGGAGTGAATCCATGCAAAACACTCAGCTTTGGTTGGCGATTGGTTATATATTACATTATCACTTCCTGTTGAAAAATCTTTGAAATGAAATGTAATATACACAAAAATATATATATTGATCATACAAATACGCAATAGGAAGCGATTAAGTTGGTAGTATTTCAAGAGAGAAATTTAATGTAACACACGCTCAATCATTTCACTTCAGAATTTACTGACGTCATAGCTCACCTGAACATGTCGTAGCTCACCTGCACACGTCATAGGTCACCTGAACATGGTTTACCTCAGTTCACAACAAACCTGAACATGTCCTGGCTCCCATGATCAACTCACCTGAACAGACACTGGGTACCACCATGCTGATCTTTGACGGATCAGACGCCTTGATTTTGTTGATGAGAGAATCGAACCCTACATTTCCAGGAGTGCAGGATCTAGCCATCTGACGTATCGTCCCTGAGACGTTGCTTAGCGGCATCACGTAGATCTCCCTCATACTCAGTTCTAAACACAATTAATAAAAATGTGTTGATTTGTGGCTCACATATCAATGACTAGGACTGGCTAAAAAGATCGATAATCGGCAATATCGTCGATACGAAAAATTATTAATGATTTTCGATATGAAAATAGTGTCATCGGTAATATCGTTCAAAAACATTTGTGATAAAATATACATTTAATTTACTCAAACAAAACACAAAGTTCGGTTTTTAATCATGTGCTGCTTCTATATTGTGGTTTTATTAGTAACCCATCATAAACATTTTACTCCTCACCAGTGTGAAATATATTCATTTTAGGTCATACTTGCTCAACTCTATGATCTATATCGATAGCCAGCCCCATCAGTGATACATTCTAGACTTGTTGTAGTCATGTTCCAAAAAGACAGATCCATTCTCACAATAATGATAATTTTAATCCGAACATTGCCACAAGCACACTCGAGGGGAAAACTTGTTCTGACAGTGCACCGCCACCTCAATCCTCAACTCAACTGTTTCTGTGAGTGAGTGAGTTTAGTTTTACGTCACTTTTAGCAATATTCCGGCAATATCACTGCGGGGAACACCAGAATGTGGCTTCACACATTATACCCATGTAGGGAATCTAACCTGGGCCTTCGGCGTGACGAGCGAACATTTTAACCGCTTGGCTACCCCAGCGTCCCTCCTGTATGTATGGCGTGACTCTGCCCGTCTTGCACATCAAAAGTACCCATTTTGAATGAAATATGCAATCTCATAACTGATGTTAACAACTGATAACTGATTAGTCAACTGTTAACTGATTAAACCATTCCATGATAAATCACCTGTTCCTTCCCCGATGTGGATGGTGAGATTGCTATCCTTCGGCACAAAGCAAAGAGGGGTGTGGTCACCATAATGCGTCACCCTGCTGCCTGCCCTGTAGATGTCCACGAAACTAGGATAGCCTCTCCACACCACAGCCATGTGTGTCCACAGATCCTTGGGGACGTTGGTAGTGGACACTTTGATCTCCTGTCTGAAAATCAATAATGGAAAACGACTGACGGACTGACTGAGTTTGGTTTTACGCCGCTTTTAGCAATATTCCAGCAACATCACGGCGGGGGACACCAGAAATGGGCTTCACACATTGTGCCCATGTGGGGATTCGAACCCGGGTCTTCGGCGTGACGAGCCAACGCTGTAACCATTAGGCTACCCCACCGCCCCGATGGAAAACGAGGGAGAGTTAGGGAGTATTGGTTTGTGTAGCAGTTAGCAACAGAAAATGTTATTATCAGGAACGACAGAATAACGGATTTCACATGCTGCATCTATCCGGGGACTCAAGGCTGTACCTTCTTATGAACGCGCAACCAGAGGGGTCCTACAGTACGTGAGGGGATGAATGTATGCAAATTCTGATGAAACAGTATCCGATATAGTAATACCGAGGACCAATGACCAATATAATAAAGATGACCAATGTAGTAATACCCCGATATAAAGATGGACCTATGTAATCATACCCCGATGTAAAGATGGTCCGAGGTAGTAATAGTGAGTGAGTTTGGTTTTACGTCGCTTTTAGCGATATCTCGGCGGGTTACAACTGAAATGGGCTTCACACATTGTACCCATGTGGGAAATCGAACCCGGGACTTCGGCGTGATTGAGCGGATGCTTTAAACACTAGGCTATCCCACCGCCCCGAGGTAGTAATACCCCGGTGTATTAATAGTTTAATACCACGATATAAAGGTGTAGTAATACCCCGGTGTAAAGAGGGTCCGATGTAGCAATACCCCGATGTAAAGATGGCCCGGTGTAGTAATACCCCGGCGTAAAGAAGGCCCGATGTAATAATACCCCGATGTAAAGACGATCGATGTAGTAATACCCTGAGGTATTTATACACTGATACGAGATACCCGTAGAATTATATAGGTACCTACCCTCTCATCCATATCTTTGTACGAGTGGTCAGTTCAAGGGTCATCTGATGACCTCTGGTGGGATGACTCAGTTCTAGCGAAATATTTATGTTACTGCTGCTCTGGGGTAGCGATCGGAACCAGAAGGCGAGGGACAAGTATTCCGTCCAGTCGTCCAGGACAGGGCCAAGATTCAACCGGACTGGCCCTTTGACCAGTATATCGAATGCTGAAAATGCAATAAGGCTAATAGGGAACATAATACGAAGATGCAAGCAGAGCACAGGCCTAGAATAACCTTGTAATGTCGAATCCATTAAAGCCTAGCGAACCTCATTGTATTATCATTGATCTGAATTCATTGAAACATTTTAAACTTTAGTTACATGCATTAAGACGGCTTTGAAAATTACATTAAGTCAGACTAATGTCGGCAAAACCAGCAAAGATGATATGTTTTCTTCCTTTTACAATTGAAAATAAAGTTGGTGAATGTGGGATTCGAACCCACTTAGGGAGGCAACTCTGCAGGGCCTTAAGCCACGTTTCTGTCCATGTCTCTACCTTCTGTGCGATTGCTTCCTACTGATGTACTCACGAACACACTGGCCCACGCTGAAACTCCCCATTCCCACAGTGGACGAGTCCGAAGAGCAAGGGATGCAACTGTTCCCAAACAGATTCGGTTGATATGTTGCAAAAGGACAGGGGTCACAGGGTGTCAGACCAGTCGTAGAAAAACTTCCAGGCTTGCACATCGCTTTTAGAAAAATAGTTTTTTTAAATATTTATATAAAAATAGTCAGATCTATGTGACTATAATGGCAGACAATAACACCTCTATAAATCGAAATCGTCAGCATGGGTTGTGTACACAATGATCGAGTCGAACATAGCTCGATAGTAGCGGAGCGCAGTTTTTGCGCCAGTACTGAAGTTCGAGTTAACAAGGTTTGACTGTAGTTGATGAAGGATTGCATAGTAATACGGAGATATAATGATATAGAATAGAAAATATCTATTGATATCAATTATTAAATGCTGGGGAAAAAGAACCATGCCTCTTAGTTGCATTTATTCATAGAAAATATCTAAGTCTGCGATATGATATCAAATAACTGGGCTTAGTAGGTCAGTACTCAAAGAATCGTGATGTTTTTTTAAAGCATAGTTTCTGTCCAAACTTTTGAAAATAAACAAAACATTTGCACATTGCACAACTGTTGATGCCTTAATCACTTTTGAATATCAATGAAATTTTTTATTCCAATAAAATAATAATTCAAACAAGGTCAGGGTCGTGTGTTTAGACAAAACATTTGTTCACAAAAGTACACAGACACAAATTACCTTTCACAAATTTTTGCAGGAGTGAGTGGTGGCCTTTGAGTTATATATAGAAGAAACTCGGGATACTTGCTTTGACCCTCAGTTTATGAACAAGAAAGTATAACGTTTCAAACCGTTTATCCTCGAGTATTGATAGATTCATATCTCATTCGAGCTCATGTTTCAAACTGTTTTTATAATAACGGTCACATTAAGCGTCAGCAGTTTCACGAGGCAAGGGTAACCACTATACTTTGTCAAAGTCCAGATACCTCAAGAGAGTGAGCTTGCTTTAGAAGCAGAGGGTCAAATTATAGTGACGTCATGTTAAATGATGAGGTCACAATGGTCTGTGGAACATCGTGATGCAGTTCATTGTAGTGATTGCTCCTAGTACATATCTTCGAGTAATATCTACTGCGGAGGCAGGTTTTCGAAAATATATACACTTCAAACGCACACTAAGAAACGAAAATATCAACTGTGCGAATGTAACACTCAACACGTATGTGGAACAGGCACCTGATAATAATACTATCCACAGTTAACCCTCCACTTACCGATACAGTCCCGATCAGTTTTGCTTCCATTGTTCTTGGTACCCTTCATCTGACCACACTGAGTGCACGTTGTCTGACCACTGGTGTCGGAGTAGGTGTGGACAGGACACGCCTCACAGATGTCCACTTCCTGGTTGTGGAACGTCCCACGTGGACAAGCGACTGTAACAACAATGGACACTTGATCACCATCACTATCTGTTGAGATAGGTATGTGCAGCATGCGCATTATTCACAACTGTTTTGAGGGTCGGTGGGGTAGCCTAATGGTTAAAGCGTTCGCTCGTCAAGCTGAGAACCGGGTTCGATTCCCCACATGGGTACAATGTGTGAAACCCATTTCTGGTGTCCCCCGCCGTGATATTGCTGGAATATTGCTAAAAGCGGCGTAAAACCAAACTCACTCACTCATTTTTTTTTTGACAGGAGGAAGGGTTTTCAAAGTTATGTTTTTGACCACACATTTCGTATAGTTGGTATGCATCAGAACTGTTAAATTCAGTTATTCAATTATTTCACATTATTAAGAATCATAAGAAACTGAGCTTTAAAAGATAACACACACGTAAACAATGGTGTTATGATTGGACATAGTATTATTTATCGTTTATGTTGAATAGTGTATATCTGTTAAACGTCCCTACCACAGAGTGACCTTGACACGTTGGCCGTCACCTTCCCGGGTCCACAGGTCCAGGTCAGATTGCCAATACTTCCAATTCTGAAGTTTCCTTCTGTCGTGCCGTTGAGAGACAGTCGGGTGGAGTTGAGGACGAGGCCGATGTAGTCTGTCACATTCTTTGCCGTCAAGGGACTGAGGCATGCAAAACGATAGACATATTATCAGTACGTATACCATTACTTCCGCCATGACACTAAACGTTATTCAGGGAACTTAATTCAGCGAATAATTCGCGAACTTTCATTGTACTGACCAGGGAATGTAATCCTCTTGCAGGTTCGATTCGAACTCCTCCTGCTGATTATCATTAAACTCACTACGCAGTAACAGGTCGTTGGTATTGAGTCATTACTCATTTACAATTTAACAGACACAGGGGCGGTACGGTAGCGTTCGCTCGTCACGCCGAAGAACTGGACCCCGTTTCACAAAGCTCTCGTAGGCCTACGATCTCGTAACTTTTCTCGTAGCATTCATACTTCCTATTTTACAGTATAGGAGGTACGAATGCTACGAGAAAAGTTACTTAGGCTTACGAGAGCTTTGTGAAACGGGGCCCTGGGTTCGATTCCTCACATGGGTACAATGTGTGAAGCCCATTTCTGGTGTCCCCTGCCTTGCTGGAATATTGCTAAAAGCTGCGTAAAACCAAACTAACTCACCCACGTTAACAAAACAGAACTAGCAAAATCAGATGGGATGTCAAATTGGATTTGGCATTTTTACACTGGATCATATGTGAATAGTTATTAGTGAGGTTCACTGTATTATGACGTGTCAGCTAAAAAAGTGTATCGCTTTGACGTAATCAACGAACATCAGAATAGTGTTGACAACCAGGACTATTAAAGTCATTAAATTGTGGACTAATGGCGCCTTTAACAGCTTGGCTGCCCGCGCATCTGACTATGATATTATTTAAGTTCTAGATTTGATTTATATAGATCCTTTAAAACATTGATCGATTTAGACTTGGCTTGACAGATATAATGATCAATACCGGCCGTAACAAGTCACTGGCCAAACATCTAAGATTTTGCCCTGTCTGTATGGAGGATATCGAAGACGAATATCATCTGTTATTTATATGTGACGCTCATGCCGATTTAAGAAAGGAGTCCATTTCACAGAAATATCTGGGTCACCCTACAAGAGAAACACTTATAAGAATTCTATCATCAAATGACGAATCTGTCCATGTAAAATTAGCCCTGTTTTTAACACATTCGCAGTCGTTAAGGAAGAGTCTGATTTCTCCTGTCAACTAACTTCGCAATGTAATGATGCTTTCCACTGTCTGCAATGTCCATAATAACCATCTTGATCTTGAGCTTGAGCTTGATCTACTATGATATTACCACGAACGTATGACATTTTTTTAACACATTCGCTGTCGTTAAGGAAGAGTCTGATTTCTCCTGTCAACTAACTTCGCAATGTAATGATGCTTTCCACTGTTTGCAATGTCCATAATAACCATCTTGATCTTGATCTTGAGCTTGATCTACTATGATATTACCACGAACGTATGACATTTTTTTAACACATTCGCTGTGGTTAAGGAAGAGTCTGATTTCTCCTATCAACTAACTTCAAAATGTAATGATGCTTTCCACTGTTTGCAATGTCCATACTTTGCCTGTCATTATAATACTATGTATACGGACAAGAGGCCTTATGTACAATAAACCATCTTGATCTTGATCTACTATGATATTACCATGAACGTATGAAAAATTCCACGTGTTAGAAGTATTAAAATTGCATTTTAGATTTACCGGGTTCTGTTGGTGAACTCAAAGTTGAAATTGACATCGACGCGAAATAACGGTTTCCTTTTCCGTATCCTTACACCTCCGCTACCAACATCAGTATCGTTGCCGAGTCCCTCGTCGCTGTCAGGAACCAACGTTAGGTTCACGATTGGTGCCGGAGAAGACATGTTACCAACTTCCCTTCGTTTCCTCAACAACAGATCAGTAGCTGTAGTCTGTTCAGGCTTCTCCGATAATACTTCTCCACTTTCATTCGTATATTCCCCGTTCAATTCAAGGTCCACAACGCCATTGTCATCGCCATATTCATTTTCCAGGTCAAGGTCATCACCTTCTTCGTAGTAGTAGTAGTAGTAGTCGTCGTTTTCTTCATAAATTGCATCGTCTGCTGCTTCAACGGCACCACATTTCACGTCAACGTTTTCAACAGTGCACTTACCATCGTCGCATTTGTGAGTTGAGGAATCAATAAGATTCACTAAAAACTTAGCTTTGATCTGGGAATTTGCGTCACCTTCAGAGCAGTTTCCGCCATAGTAGAACAGATGAGACGGAAGGTTATACTTGTCAGGGAATAGCAATACTGAAAAATAATGAATTGTCTTGTCAAGACTCGATTATTTACAGAACGCCGCCTTATAGCTGGAATATTGCTGAGCGTGGCGTAAACAACAACAAACAAACCTAATAGCTATGTAATCTATGATATACTATCTCAAAAAAGAAACTCTGTTGCGAAAATGTTGTATTTTCAAACATGTATAACTCGTTCACAAATTGACTTTAGTGCATGAAGTTTTACATCAGTTTAGAAGAAGGTAATGTCTATGCAACCAAGTGGATCATTTTAGATAACGGAGACGCTGGGCGCGATGGTGACGACGTAGCACGGTCCCGACGTCTGGTCTCCTGGCACTCAGTCCAATCTCTCTCAACCTGTTCCGTATATCCTCCGTATATCCTCCGAAGTCCAGGCACCCTGGCAGCTGTGCTCTCACCCGTGGCAGTACGATCATGCAAATGTAGCACCCGGATGTACCGATCTTGGACTGCAGTGGTGACTCGAGCTCTGCCCGTACGAGGACGGTCATTTGTTATACCTGTTTGGTTGTAACGAGCTGCAAGCCGTGATATCGTGCTCAGACTAACATTCAGACGCCTGGCAACGGAAGATTGGTAATCTCCAGCGGGCATTCTTTCAATTGCGATGTTCCTTGTAGTGATTTGACCTTGAAACTCCTTCAAAACGAATGCCAATTTCCGAAAGTAATCTGGATTTTTATATCCAGACAGTTCATGCTCTTTGCTGCACAATTTCAACTGGAAGGTGGAATTTCTGTTACGTTGTGGCAATGCCTTTTTTCTCCTTGTGAGAAATCTCATCAAAATCAACATTTTCAGGTAAAGTCGATTTTTTAATTGTGCAATTGTGTAAAATCATGTTATCAACACTTTTGTTACATATTTTGACGATTGTTTGAACACCACAGGTAATTTATAGATTTTCTAAAATACAAAAATGTGTATGCGTTTCTTTTTGTGGATAGTATATGCTACAGCTATAAACCTTCTGCCTCTTGTAATAGACCATAGACCCTTAAATCCAAAATATATGTGAATTATTAACTTAATGACTAAGAGTTTCGAGATTTTAGCTGTAGAAAAAAAATGTGGAGGGCGTACAAGATTGCGCACACGGTGAACTCTCGGAGACCCTTTCGATTCGCGCTACAAATGAAATCAACTTCATAGCTAACATACAGCAACTCATTTCGTTCATTGATATATAACGTATCACTTCTGTCGTCCAGTTTTGTAAGATAAACAGAACATGTTGGCAATACAAAAATGACATTGATGTCCTCGTTTATCCATGATTCAATTTATTTCATTTAATTCCTATTCTCTCGCAGTAACAGTACATTCAGTACATTCAAGTCTATCATATAGGTATTGCTTACTGGAACAATCAGGTACGTCAGCTGATGGGCTCCACCCTGTCTTGGCACCACAGATGTATGTCTTGGGGTAGTTCCGGTCGCCTGCTACATCATGGTCAATATTGCATTGCGCTTGGCAGACTTCTCCTCCGAACATCTTGTCACAAGCAAGAGCTCCATTACTCGGCGGCTTCAGATCTGGGCAAGTTTTCTCTGAGACAAAATACATTATCCAGTTCGACATTGTCATGATGTTGTGTGTATTGAGGAGCTGGATAAAACGGACACCTTTGAAAACGTGTACTGCTTGTGTTTAGTGCAGGACATGTTTAACCTATAACGATCACACGGAGTCCTCGTCTTATGCATATAGATTTCATTACAGTTCTGTCTGTTGTGGACAATGGCGTGTGTTTCAGCAGGCGATTGATGGGGTGCGTGTCTCGCAAAAGATGTCTTAACCCCCCCACCCCCACCATACACACACATGTAACTTGCTGATGGGGTTGACATCACTGGTCATTGTGAACAGATTGTCCGACCTCTGATTACAAGTCGATGTCTTTGCACTGAGGTGAAGTAGCCAATTGGGTAAACCCACTTTACCGGGTTTGACGAGCAAATCACTAGGCAGGCTAAAGGCTATAAAAAAAAACCACCCCCCACCCACTCCAAGCTTCTTGCTTCGACGCCTGGAAAACGTCGCCATTGTTCTGTTATATGTGTGAGATATGCTGTTGAGTTTAACATTTTCTTGTTACACATTTCGAGCTTCGGTTAAAGAAAGCATAATATTTACAATTCTTACTAATCTAAATAGAATAAATAAAAATAGATTTATAGTAGAATATTTAGCAGAAAGCGAAAATGTGTTTTTGAAGAGTGACAATGAGTAACATTTCATAGGGATTTACCCACACGAGTAGTCTCAGGTGTACATACTGTGGCACTTAGGGAAGGAGTTGTTGTCGCCCACCCACACGGAGACAGGGATGAGGCCCTCGCGCCTCTCACAATTGATGTATGGGTTCCCCAGCACAAAGCTGTGTGGACAGTCAGCTCGGCATGAAGAACCCATTGTGTAGTTGCTGGAATGGCAGGTGAAGATCGGGTCGTAGTCGCCGTCACCGGTCACGGGCCTGGAACACGGCGGAACTGGAAAGACGGTGTTAAATGGAGGAATTGAACCACAGTTTTAAGCCTTAGATTCCGATCTGAAATCAATGCCGTGTTAAACTTTCAGTGGGAAGCATCCTACTTTAGCAGTTTAATAAATGGGTCGGTACGTGCTGATTGTTTTGAAGAACAATATGTTCCGAATCATTTTGAAATTATATATGCATACATGCATCTGGGCCAAAAAGGAAAGCTGCTTACCATAGACAGTGTTATTAGGTGTCTTGGGTGCTATAACATTACCACATCATCTCAATGTTACAATGTCATTAGTGTCTTGTGGTATTATACTGACCAGCAATAAAAACGCAACTCAGAATTCATGAAAATTATACTTTTTCAGCATGAGTTTGGTTTGGATTTGATACTTTAACAAAATTGTTTTGATTTCTTGAACTGAGTTTCATTAGCTGGTCAGTGTATATTGCACATCATCTCAATGTTACAATGTTATAAGTGCGTTGTAACACTGCCACACCATGTCAGTGTTACAATATGACTAGTAACGGATGTGCTGTCAAAATGTCACATCGTCTTTGAGTTACAATGTCACCAGCATCGGGTGTGTTGTTACATTGCAACATCTTCTCAGTGTTAGGATGCCTTTAGATGCCTTATGATGCATGGCATTAGACTTGTGCGCGTCTTACGAAAAATAATTCATACCCATACGAAGGTGTGTACGTAAAAACTAAGCAAAAGAATCATGAGTGGTAAGTGATGTATGATCCATTTTTAGTATGGTAATGTGTGTTACATATGATGTGTGTCTAGAGTATGTTGTATGGCGTGAAGTATGTCTAATGCATGGGGTATGAGTGAAGTATGTCTAGTGTATGTTGTATGAGCGAAGTATGTCTAGTGTATGTGTATGAGTGAAGTGTGTCTAGTGTATGTGAAAGTGTGTCTAGTGTATGCATGGTGTATGAGTATGTCTAAGTATGTTGTAGTGTATGTCTAATGTATGGTGTATGAGTGAAGTGTGTCTAGTGTATGTTGTATGGGTGAAGTATGTATAGTGTATGTTGTATGAGCGAAGTGTGTCTAGTGTATGTTGTATGATGTGAAGTGTGTCTAGTGTATGTTGTATGAGTGAAGTATGTCTAGTGTATGTTGTATGAGTGAAGTGTGTCTAGTGTATGTTGTATGGAGTGAAGTGTGTCTAGTGTATGTTGTATGAGTGAAGTGTGTCTAGTGTATGTTGTATGTGAAGTCCTGTCTAGTGTATGTTGTATGAGTGAAGTGTCTAGTGTATGTTGTATGAGTGAAGTATGTCTAGTGTATGTTGTATGAGTGAAGTATGTCTAGTGTATGTTGTATGGTGAATGAGTGAAGTGTGTCTAGTGTATGTTGTATGAGTGAAGTATGTCCTAAGTATGTCTAGTGTATGTTGTATGAGTGAAGTATGTCTAGTGTATGTTGTATGGAGTGAAGTATGTCTAGTGTATGTTGTATGAGTGAAGTATGTCTAGTGTATGTTGTATGAGTGAAGTATGTCTAGTGTATGTTGTATGAGTGAAGTGTGTCTAGTGTATGTTGTATGAGTGAAGTATGTCTAGTGTATGTTGTATGGAGTGAAGTATGTCTAGTGTATGTTGTATCGAATGAAGAATGTCTAGTTTATGTTGTATGGAGTGAAGTATGTCTAGTGTATGTTGTATGAGTGAAGTATGTCTAATGTATGTTGTATGAGTGAAGTATGTCTAGTGTATGTTGTATGAGTGAAGTGTGTCTAGTGTATGTTGTATGAGTGAAGTGTGTATGTCTAGTGTATATGTTGTAAGTGAGTGTAAGTATGTCTAGTGTATGTTGTATGAGTGAAGTATGTCTAGTTTATATTGTACGGAGTGAAGTGTGTCTAGTGTATGTTGTATGAGTGAAGTGTGTCTAGTGTATGTTGTATGAGTGAAGTATGTCTAGTTTATGTTGTATGAGTGAAGTGTGTCTAGTGTATGTTGTATGAGTGAAGTATGTATAGTGTATGTTGTATGAGTGAAGTATGTCTAGTCTATGTTGTATGGAGTGAAGTATGTCTAGTTTATGTTGTATCGAATGAAGAATGTCTAGTTTATGTTGTATGGAGTGAAGTATGTCTAGTGTATGCTGTATGAGTGAAGTATGTCTAGTTTATGATGTATGGAGTGAAGTATGTCTAGTGTATGTTGCATAAGTGAAGTATGTCCAATGTATGTTGTATGATTGAAGTTTGCCTAGTGTATGTTGTATGAGTGAAGTGTGTATAGTTTGTGTTGTATGGAGTGAAGTATGTCTAGTGTATGTTGTATGAGTGAAGTGTCTCTAGTGTATGTTGTATGAGTGAAGTGTGTCTAGTGTATGTTGTATGGAGTGAAGTATGTCTAGTGTATGTTGTATGAGTGAAGTGTGTCTAGTGTATGTTGTATGAGTGAAGTATGTCTAGTGTATGTTGTATGAGTGAAGTGTGTCTAGTGTATGTTGTAAGGAGTGAAGTATGTCTAGTGTATGTTGTATGAGTGAAGTGTGTCTAGTGTATGTTGTATGAGTGAAGTATGTCTAGTTTATGTTGTATGAGTGAAATGTGTCTAGTGTATGTTGTATGAGTGAAGTATGTCTAGTGTATGTTGTATGAGTGAAGTATGTCTAGTGTATGTTGTATGAGTGAAGTATGTCTAGTGTATGTTGTATGAGTGAAGTATGTCTAGTGTATGTTGTATGATGTGAAGTGTGTCTAGTGTATGTTGTATGAGTGAAGTATGTCTAGTGTATGTTGTATGGAGGGAAGTATGTCTAGTGTATGTTGTATGAGTGAAGTGTGTCTAGTGTATGTTGTATGGAGTGAAGTATGTCTAGTGTATGTTGTATGAGTGAAGTATGTCTAGTGTATGTTGTATGAGTGAAGTGTGTCTAGTGTATGTTGTATGAGTGAAGTATGTCTAGTTTATGTTGTATGAGTGAAGTATGTATAGTGTATGTTGTATGAGTGAAGTGTGTCTAGTGTATGTTGTATGAGTGAAGTATGTCTAGTGTATGTTGTATGAGTGAAGTTTGTCTAGTGTATATTGTATGAGTGAAGTATGTCTAGTTTATGTTGTATGAGTGAAGTATGTATAGTGTATGTTGTATGAGTGAAGTGTGTCTAGTGTATGTTGTATGAGTGAAGTATGTCTAGTGTATGTTCTATGAGTGAAGTGTGTTTAGTGTATGTTGTATGGATTGAAGTATGTCTAATGTACGTTGTAAGTTTGAAGTATGTCTAGTGTATGTTGTATGAGTGAGGTATGTCTAGTGGGTGTTGTATGAGTGAAGTGTGTCTAGTGTATGTTGTATGAGCGAAGTCTGTCTAGTGTATGTTGTATGGAGTTAAGTGTATTTAGCGCATGTTGTATGGAGTGAAGTATGTCTAATGTTGTATGGAGTGAAGTGTAAGTATTGTAAGTATGTCTAGTGTATGTTGTATGAGTTAAGTATATCTAGTTTATGTTGTATAGTGAGTGTAAGTGTGTCTAGTGTATGTTGTATGAGTGAAGTATGTCTAGTGTATGTTGTATGTATATGTGTATGTTGTATGAGTGAAGTATGTCTAGTCTATGTTGTATGAGTGAAGTATGGAGTGAAGTATGTCTCTAGTTTATGTTGTATCGAATGAAGTATGTCTAGTTTATGTTGTATGGAGTGAAGTATGTCTAGTGTATGCTGTATGAGTGAAGTATGTCTAGTTTATGATGTATGGAGTGAAGTATGTCTAGTGTATGTTGCATAAGTGAAGTATGTCCAATGTATGTTGTATGATTGAAGTATGCCTAGTGTATGTTGTATGAGTGAAGTGTGTATAGTTTGTGTTGTATGGAGTGAAGTATGTCTAGTGTATGTTGTATGAGTGAAGTGTCTCTAGTGTATGTTGTAAGGAGTGAAGTGTGTCTAGTGTATGTTGTATGGAGTGAAGTATGTCTAGTGTATGTTGTCTGAGTGAAGTGTGTCTAGTGTATGTTGCAAGGAGTGAAGTATGTCTGAGTATGTCTAGTGTATGTTGTATGAGTGAAGTATGTCTAGTGTATATTGTGTTGCAAGGAGTGAAGTATGTCTAGTGTATGTTGTATGATGAGTGAAGTATCTCTAGTGTATGTTGTATGAGTGAAGTATGTCTAGTGTATGTTGTGTATGAGTGAGTGTATGTTGTATGAGTGAAGTATGTCTAGTGTATGTTGTATGAGTGAAGTATGTCTAGTGTATGTTGTATGATGTGAAGTGTCTAGTGTATGTTGTATGAGTGAAGTATGTCTAGTGTATGTTGTATGGAGGAAGTATGTCTAGTGTATGTTGTATGTGAAGTATGTCTAGTGTTGTATGAGTGAAGTGTGTCTAGTGTATGTTGTATGGAGTGAAGTATGTCTAGTGTATGTTGTATGAGTGAATTGTCTAGTGTATGTTGTATGAGTGAAGTTTGTCTAGTGTATATTGTATGAGGGAAGTATGTCTAGTTTATGTTGTATGAGTGAAGTATGTATAGTGTATGTTGTATGAGTGAAGTGTGTCTAGTGTATGTTGTATGAGTGAAGTATGTCTAGTGTATGTTGCATGAGTGAAGTATGTATAGTGTATGTTGTATGAGTGAAGTATGTCTAGTGTATGTTCTATGAGTGAAGTGTGTTTAGTGTATGTTGTATGGATTGAAGTATGTCTAATGTACGTTGTAAGTTTGAGTTTGAAGTATGTCTAGTGTATGTTGTATGAGTGAGGTATGTCTAGTGGATGTTGTATGAGTGAAGTGTGTCTAGTGTATGTTGTATGAGCGAAGTCTGTCTAGTGTATGTTGTATGGAGTTAAGTGTATTTAGCGCATGTTGTATGGAGTGAGTATGTCTAATGTATGTTGTATGTTTGAAGTATGTCTAGTGTATGTTGTATGACTGAAGTGTGTCTAGTATATGTTGTATGAGTGAAGTGTGTCTAGTGTATGTTGTATGAGTGAAGTTTGTCTAGTCAATGTTGTATGAGTGAATTGTCTAGTGTTTGTTGTATGAGTGAAGAGTGTGTAGTGTATGTTGTATGAGTGAAGTGTGTCTAGTGTATGTTGTATGGAGTGAAGTATGTCTAGTGTATGTTGTATGAGTGAAGTATGTCTAGTGTATGTTGTATGAGTGAAGTTTGTCTAGTGTATATTGTATGAGTGAAGTGTGTCTAGTGTATGTTGAATGAGTGAAGTATGTCTAATGTATGTTGTATGAGTGAAGTATGTCTAGTGTATGTTGTATATGTCTAGTCTATGTATGTTGTATGAGTGAAGTGTGTCTAGTGTATGTTGTATGAGTGAAGTGTGTCTAGTGTATGTTGTATGAGTGAAGTATGTCTAGTGTATGTTGTATGAGTGAAGTATGTCTAGTGTATGTTGTATGAGTGAAGTATGTCTAGTGTATGTTGTATGAGTGAAGTATGTCTAGTGTATGTTGTATGAGTGAAGTATGTCTAGTGTATGTTGTATGGAGTGAAGTATGTCTAGTGTATGTTGTATGAGTGAAGTATGTCTAGTGTATGTTGTATGAGTGAAGTGTGTCTAGTGTATGTTGTATGAGTGAAGTGTGTCTAGTGTATGTTGTATGAGTGAAGTATGTCTAGTGTATGTTGTATGAGTGAAGTGTGTCTAGTGTATGTTGTATGAGTGAAGTGTGTCTAGTGTATGTTGAATGAGTGAAGTATGTCTAATGTATGTTGTATGAGTGAAGTATGTCTAGTGTATGTTGTATGAGTGAAGTGTGTCTAGTATATGTTGTATGAGCGAAGTATGTCTAGTGTATGTTGTATGAGTGAAGTATGTCTAGTGTATGTTGTATGAGTGTATATTATGTGAAGTGTGTCTAGTATGAGTGAAGTATGTCTAGTGTATGTTGTATGAGTGAAGTATGTCTAGTGTATGTTGTATGAGTGAAGTATGTCTAGTGTATGTTGTATGAGTGAAGTATGTCTAGTGTATGTTGTATGAGTGAAGTATGTCTAGTGTATGTTCTATGGTGTGAAGTGTGGTTTGGTGTTGAGTGGTGTGTGTTCTACGGTGTAACGTTTGGGAGGTATTTGTCGTCTGATGTTTCGCGACAGTTGCTCGACTGGAAATATTTGAAGTATTTACCTTCATAGTTGACTGTAAATGTACACGCCTTCGCCTGGTTGGCCGAACTGTCAACAGCCCGATATTCGATCAAGTGAACTCCTCCTGTCAACACTGACCCTGGCCTTGGACCTTTCTTCTGGGTCAAAGTGACGCTCCCGGAGTTATCCGTTGCCCTCACAGTAGACCAAACGTAGGTATTGCTTGTCGTCTTCAGTTCCCCTTCAGGGCAGTTTAAGATCTTTGGTTTCTCTGTATCTAAAATGATTTCGCATGACGTATGTATAGTATGACCAGAAATTATTGAGAATTTTAAGAATATGTTTAATTGGATTTCTAGTATAAACAACCTTGACCAGCTATCAAGTGTTTGGGTTCATTCAAGAGAGACAACTCCGTTAATCCTTTTCATTAGTTTGTGAAGAGTTATTCCCCTTTGTTTACTTGCTAGCAGACGACATTTTCAGTGATCCTCAGTACGGATGATTTAGAGAAGAGGAAGTTGATTTTAGAGTATTATAACAAGGACATCAGATCAGCTAAAGTGATTTCAAGTAGAACAGGCATCCCTTTGTCCACTGTTTATCGTGTTTTGAAAAATATTGCAAATGGTTATGGCATTGAGCACCAGGGAGGCGCAGGTAGGCCCAGAAAATTGACTGTCGGTGACAGGAAGCGGCTTGGTATTCTTGTTTCTAAAAACAAATGAAGGAGTTTAGAAAACTTAAGGCTGCATATGATTGATAGAGGAACTGTGGCTGTCTGTAAGGAGACAATTAGAACTGAGCTGCATGCAATGGGTTGGCAGAAAAGTCGAGGAATTCCATCACCGATCATGAAACCTGAACAATACGAGCGAAGGTTGAACTGGTGCTTACAGCATAGAAATTTTAACTGGGACAATGTGATTTTCTCAGATGAAAGTTCTGTGTGGCTGTTTCCTAATACACTGACATACTGGACCAAACAAACTGAAAAACCTTTGTATCAGCGCCCAAAGTACAGTCCGAAATTTAACGTGTGGGGTGGCATAGCTGTGTTAGGGGCAACGCCCCTCTGTGTATTTGAAGGGAATATGAACAGTGAGCGGTACACAGATATTCTCGAGGGACATTTACTTCCATCTGCTCACGTGTTCTATGGAAACCTTTGGATTTTCCAGCAGGACAACGACCCAAAACATCGTTTAAAGCATTCACAGGCCTGGTTTCGGACCCAAAATATGACATTATTAGATTGGCCAAGCCATAGCCCTGACCTAAATCCAATAGAAAATGTTTGGGGACTTATGAAGGAAAGTGTCAATAAGAAAAATCTGACAAATATTGCTGAAATGAAAGAAGAGGTGGTCCGATATTGTGGACAGCATGGACCACGACTTTCTAACGTCTTTGATCAGTAGTATGCCCCGCCGCATTGAAGCCTGCATGGTGACTTGACAAAATACTAACTGTTCACCTGTCTTTGAATCTGGAGTTATGTTCTGCTAATATTTACATTTAATACGTGAGTAATGAGTGAATTTTTAAAAGAAAATTACAATCTTTAAATTCTCAATAATTTCTGGTTGTACTTTACAATCAATGTGCTTTTTGCAAAATGCCAGAACCTCACCACAATTCACAATAATATGCATCACTTCGAGCTTTCCAGACATTTTGTTTGAAAGCAATCGATACATTCAAAGGTTTTGTTTGTTGTTTATAGCGATATTCCAGCTATATGGCGGCAGTCTGTAAAGAACCCATGAAAGAAGTTAACAGCATGGGGATCGATCTATGAAACTGGGATACGATGACATGTGTCAACCAAGTCATCAAGTATGACTATAGGATCCTGTTAATCACCTATTACGACAAGAATGGGTTGCTGGAGACCAATTATAACCCTCACATCTTCACGGACTGACCTTCAAAGCAGATGGTATACAGGTGCATACATTTGATAATAAATAATGTATCAGTCATCACTTGCTCACATTTAAAAAGATGATCAAAGCATCATCTGGACATTCTAACCTTCACACCGCCAGTAGTTGTAATCCCAGTATCCAGTTCCGAAACACCTAACATAGCTACGACGGGCCGGCGAGTATCCTCGTCTCCAGTCACAGTTGAGGGTGCATTGGCTTTGGTAGTAGTAACCGTTGGAACAGGATACACTCAGTGCTCTAGAGGGCAAGGATGGCGAGCCGCAACTTCTTCCTTAAAGTTAACCAATATTCTCGTTACTGTTAATTGTATGATTCAGTTTAAATCCACACTCAAGGAATTAGTAGTCTCGCACACAATCCATAACATTTTTCCTAATATTTGTTTGTTTGTTGTTTAACGTCGCACTCAGCAATATTACAGCTATATGGCGGAGGTTTGTATAAATAAATAATCAAGATTTGACCAGCAATCCAGTGATCAACAGCATGGACATCAATCTTCGCAACGGGGATACGATGACATGTGTCAACCAAGCCAGCGAGCCTGGCCACCCGATCTCGTTAGTCGCCTCTTACGACAAGCATGGGACAACTGAAGATCAATTCTAACCCGGATCTTCACGGGCCTCACTTACTTCTACATGTGGGGGTGCTTGAGGACCAGCTGCCGCTCTTCCTACAATCTCTTCTGGAATTACCGTCCATCCAGAAGCCATAATCACAGGAATACCTACATATGGTACCATATCTTCTGTCCGAATTGTCGCAATCTCGATTACCATTGCTCGGTGTATACGGATAGCTGCATCTTATCACTGTGAAGATAAAAAGGAACGGACTGGATTAGACCATGACATCGACAATGATTGCTCATTGAGTTGCACCTTACAAGCATGAGGTAACTACCTAGGATGAAACATAATCTGGTCTAATTGGTGATGTAGTGAGGTGTTACCTTGGTGATATGATGTAGTGAGGTGTTATTATGATGATATGACGTTATGAGATGTTATGTTGGTGATATGATGTAGTGAGGTGTTATGTTGGTGATATGATGTAGTGAGGTGTTATTATGATGATATGACGTTATGAGATGTTATGTTGGTGATATGATGTAGTGAGGTGTTTTGTTGTCGATATGATGTAGTGAGGTGTTATTATGATGATATGATGTAGTAAGGTGTTTGCAGACGATATGATGTAGTGGGTGTTTTGTTGTCGATATGATGTAGTGAGGTGATATTATGGTGATATGATGTAGTGAGGTGGTATGTTGGTGATATGATGTAGTGAGGTGTTTCATTGTCGATATGATGTAGTGAGGTGTTTTGCTGTCGATATGATGATATGATTTAGGGAGGTGTTTTGTTGTCGATATGATGTAATAAGGTGTTTTGTTGTCCATGTGATGTAGTGAGGTGTTATTATGATGATATGATGTAGTGAGGTGTTTTGTTGTCGATATGATGTAGTGAGGTGTTATGTAGGTGATATGATGTAGTGAGGTGTTATGTAGGTGATATGATGTAGTGAAGTGTTGTGTTGGTGCTATGATGTAGAGAGATATTATGTAGGTGATATGATGTAGTGAGGTGTTTTGTAGGTGATATGATGTAGTGAGGTGTTATGTAGGTGATATGATATAGTGAGGTGTTATGTAGGTGATATGATAAAGTGAGGTGTTGTGTTGGTGCTATGATGTAGAGAGATATTATGTAGGTGATATGATGTAGTGAGGTGTTATGTAGGTGATATGATGTAGTGAGGTGTTATGTAGGTGATATGATGTAGTGAGGTGTTATGTAGGTGATATGATGTAGTGAGGTGTTATGTTGGTGATATGATGTAGGGAGGTGTTATGTAGGTGATATGATATAGTGAGGTGTTATGTAGGTGATATGATGTAGTGTGGTTTTATGTTGATGATATGATGTAGTGATGTGTTATGTTGGTGATATGACAGGCCACACACTCCAGATGAAGTACATAGGTCGTGTGAAAGGCACACAGCGAGAAAGGGACATCGTTTTGGGAAACTGACCTTTAATTGTGATGTAGAAAGAGCAATAGTCCTTTTGCCCGTAAAGGTCAGTAACCTTGTACCGTACCTCAGTGGTGCCTTCATAGAAGTTAGAGTGTGCTGCAGGACCCTTAATTCTCTCAGTCCTGCAGATCGTAACAGTGTTGTTTAATGGTGGCAAGTATTCGGGAAACGGTCATGATGAATTGTACCCTCAAATATGGATAATGGTCGTGATGGGGTTTGGGGAAGGACTGTGATGGTAGCTTAATGGTTCACGCGTCCGCTCGTCATGACCCGGGTTCGATTACCCCCATGGATTTAATGTGGAGGCTCATTCCTGGTGTCCACCGCCGCGACATTGCTGGAATATTGCTAAAGCGGCGTAAAACCATACTCACTCATTCACTCACACAGTCGATGTGGCACTTATCATATCGTATTGGACGGCCTTATAATTCACTGCAGGGGCGGTTGGGTAGCCCAGTGGTTAAAGCGTTCGCTCGTCACGCTGAAGACCTGGGTTCAATTACCCATATGGGTACAATGTGTGAAGCCCATTTCTGGTGTCCCCCGTCCGTGATGTTGCTGAAATATTGCTAAAAGCGGCGTAAAACGGCACCCACTCACATTCACTGCACTTGTACACTACGAATAAAATGCTTGAGAAGAACATGCGTACAGAGTCACTTCGATTATGTTTCTCAGAGGTTGAACTGTTCACTTGATACAAAACGACATTCAGAGGAATCGTTGGGTGCGTACTGTCACTGTAGGGCAATTCAGGCAATATTCGATTAATCTTTCAGTGAATTAAAAAAATTGAAATGCTCCCTCCTACGTCAACGAAACCACACTCTTCTTACGTTAACGAAACCACACGCCATTGAGGGGTGCCAATTAATGGTAATTATCACTAAATGACCACACTTTCGGTATTTTTTCATGTTAAATAAAGAAAACATCCGAGCACACATTAGGCATTATTCAGTGCCTAAGTTTGAGTTCGAATCGCGGTTGGGACTCATCCCACCAAAAATACCAGAAATCTGTATAATCCCAAATATAACACGTGTTACACTTTCTAAATGGCAGTGTGTGTTCATGGTCCCTAACTCACCGCCATCCTCTATCTGAATCCCATCCGTCAGGTTCTGGCCAGTAGACCTCTGTATACAGTTTGTCATAACTGGCTGTGAAAGTGTTACCCGAAGGGCATGAGATTGAAGGTCCTCTTCTCGCTGTGGAATAAACAAATAAATCACATTTAGAAACCCAAAACTCAATGGTGGCTTTTAACAGAAACGAAATATAGGCCATAGGCCCACGTTACACATTAAGAATTACAGTGTGAGAAAGTATGTTATAATCAACAATGTCTCAGTAACATAGCTTGCAATGGTTTAACATTGGTTCGGACTTGTCTATGAAGTAGTGTTCTTTTAAAATCCGTTTTACTTTGTCCGAATTTTGAACTTGATTAAAAGGAAATATTGTAAATTTAACATCGTTTCCTTTCGCACAGACATCTAGATGTTGACTCAGTGGGCTACATCGGGTTTCAGGACACTTTATTTGTTGTTTGTGGACACGAACTCGGGCTCTTAAATTTTCTGATTGACCAAAATACTGTTCATTACAGCCTGTGCATGTTATGGCATATATTATGTTTTGCAAGAGCAGTCAAAATTCTGTTTTACATAGAATTCTCCGTGTCTCGTGAAAGTTACAGAGTGTCCTTCAACAAATGTCGACACGTTCCACAGTTACCTCTGTTGCATCTAGACACAGTAGGATTTGATAAATTCTGTTTCTTTAAAGTAAATTTGGCATTTGTTAGTATCTTTTTAAGATTCTGATTTTGTCTTTTGCTATTTATTATTTTTCTAGATTTCAGCATTGATTTCAGTATTTTATCTTGTTCTAAGATGCACATACCTGCCAGTTTCTGTTCGTAGTTCATGAGGCCCCGATCTAAACTGAGCAAGAGCACGTCTATGTTTAATATAGCTGACTGTGAAGATATACGATTCAACACCGTTTATTGTGCCTTTTACTACTGCAAAATGCCAGTCTTGTTGATACGAAACTTTAAGTCTACCTAGAAATTCATTTAAAAATAGCGTTTCACTTCGAACCATCTGTTCTTGCCAAACAAATCCAAATCCATAGACTTCTAATGTATGCTTTATCCTAGCTGCCTAGCTCTTAAAACCATTACTTTCCGTTTGTACAAGCATATCTTTAGATAACGCTCATTGACATTTTTAATATTTTACGCCAATATTTGATAGACCTTTTGATGCTTTAAATATACAATGGATATCTTCCACATTCGCCTCGCACAACATGCGCTGAAACAGAGGATTTAATTCGTAGAAATCGTTTACAAGCTGCCACATGTACACCTTATACTTCCCATCAAAGTTTAGACTCACTTAAAACAATCACTATATGTTAAGTATATATATATATATATGGTTACATTGAAGATTGATTTCTCCACAAACTAATTGCACGAGGATCATGCATCAAATTGCTGAAATGCATGTGCAAATATCGTGTATGTGAACAGTTGCGTTTTGGCGTAAAGTTTTGTTTGGAATTCGCCAAATTTCACTGATTTTTATCATTTATTGAACTCATGACAATAATCTTTCCAGCGCTACAAATTTGTTTTACAATACATCAGTTCATGTGTAAACAGTACCTTTAAATATTATGGAGTATTTGGCAAGATTTAGTTTGGAACAGTTGCCGGAAGTAAGTGACTATATTTACACTAGTGAGTCTAAACGTTTGATGGGTAGTACATTTCGTTAACAACATTCAGTCCCCATATTTCTGCACCGTAAAATACAATTGGATAAACTTTGGTGTCGAAAATCGTAAAGATCAGGTCAAAGGGTAATGAGTTAAACATTGACAAGAATACCAAATAAAACTTGCTTAGCTTGCAGACAAACATTTTCTATGTGCTTGGTCCATACTAATGACCTGAATAAAATACCTAGATAGTTGTACCAGGAAACACATTCTATTTGTACACCATTATAGAACCAATGTTCATACTTCGACAGCCTTCCACCTTTTTTGAAAACTATTACCTTTTTTCCATATTTACCGTCAAACAATTATAAGAACAAAATATCTTTAGGACAACGCGTCTTTTCTGTAGACCAAACACTGTATCAGAGATAAACACAACATCATCAGCAAATATAAGATGAAATAACTGTAAAGTTCAGGATGAAGCTGAATAAAATTATTCCTGGCACGCAACAGGCTTCGATTCCATGAGCTAGCTAGAATGGAAAAAGAAGAGTGCTTAGGATACTAAATTTAACACACGCTTTAACCCTTCTTAGAGGGCTTGGATTGATTTTAGCATTTTACTGCTTACTCCTCTTAGCCTTAAGATATTCCACAGTTTTGCCCTATTCACGAAGTCAAAGGCTTTGGAAAAGTCTATGAAACATGCATACAGTTTACCTTTTCAGTTTTAGCGCTCAATAACGAACTGTAGGATAAAAATGTCATCAATAGTACTGTAACCCTTGCGAAAACCCGCTTGCGAATCAACGATTTTGTTCAGCATGTGTATGTACAGCAATAATGTTCCCAGTTTCAGCTTGCATTACCGTATTCATAGACATTTTGTTTGCCGGAGGTAGTCAGTTACAGTACCTATTCGGTGTTCACGAGAATATTCGTCTTGAAAGATTAAACTGGACCAGCACAGTTATGGACTCGAGTGTGTCGTTGATATGGAGTTGTGTCAAATGACCCTTCCATGGACCACCCCACAGCATTAAAATCCCACCATTAAATCCGTCACTATATGCACTGACGGAACAATCACCCCATGAAGGAGCAAGATTTAGGTCTGAAACGTCGTATAAATTATAAGAAAAAGAAGTTGTTATCCATAAAAACGTGTCGTGTGTTCAAATCTGTCATGCTTCCCAACGTTGATCTTCTAATGACGTTCGTTAAGACACCCCGGACACGCCAAGTTCAGAAGGTTCAGACTGAATCTTGACTCATCTGATAACGTCACACGGGACCTTTGTATTTCTCAGCTGCTCCACTCAGTCTGTAGATTTGTTAACGATGATACAGCATGTAGTCGCCAATCACGCTGATGAGCTATATGCTGATGATGTATAATCCTTATCATACTATCCTCATTACATCATAAGTGATTAATAATTCGGTTGGCTGTTTGTGGTAGGTACCTTGAAACCTGGGATCTTATTTATACTGAGTCAAAAAAGAAACTTCACATCCTTTCTTCAGGGCACTATAAAAGAACAAGAGATGGTAAGATGGTTAAATTGTTATTATTTCATTGCTTAGATCTGTGTGATGAACTCGATACACTGACAGTGCCATAATCAGTTCCATTAGGCTACACCGCCGTTCCAAAACATGGGTATACAGAATGTCAAGTCACAAGAATAAAAATGCGAAATTTCTCACTTCAATATCGTGTATGGCCGCCCCGCGCATTCACCACTGCCAAACACCGTCTCCTCATCGACTGCCTGATGCTTGTGAACACGTGGTTGGGGATTCTGCGCCATTGCTCTTGCAAGGCAGCTCCAAGTTCCTGCAAATTCTGAGCTTGGTTCCTAAGAGGTTGGTTCAGGGGTGAGCACCTGGTCGCGGTAAGCGGCAGCTGTGAGGTTTCTACGGATGACCAGAAGTCGGGAACGGTTGTTCCAACAGAAAGCACCCCTCACCGTGCAACTTCCGCCCCCGAATCTGTCGACTTCCTGTACACAACAGTGGGCATACCGTTCACGACGTCGTCTCCAGACTCTATGCCTGCCGTCCGCGAATCTGAGGGTAAACCTGGATTCATCGCTAAAGACGACTCGATTCCAGTGTCTCTGGGTCCATCGGAGGTGACGTTGGGCCCACAGCAGACGTTGACGTTGATGAAACGGCGTCAATATTGGCCCACGATATGGACGTCGAGAAAGGAGATTGGCAGCCCGCAACCGATTTCTAATGACGTTCGTTAGGACACCCCGGACACGCTAAGTTCAGAGAAATCTGGTTCAGACTTTGAATCTTGACTCATCTGAACACGTCACCTTTGTATATCGCAGCTGCTCCACTCAGTCTGTAGATTTGTTAACAATGGTACAGCATGTAGTCGCCAATCACGTTGATGAGCTATATGCTGATGATGTATAATTCTTATCATACTATCCCTCATTACATCATAAGTGATTAACAATTCGGTTGGCTGTTTGCGGTAGATACCTTGAAACCTGGGATCGTATGTATTTATCCTAGTTTTTGTTGTTGACCGATTGCAGATTGTGCTGGGCCGATCATTATATGAATGCAGAAACCTGTTTCAAAGTCTGCAGATCACAGAAACTGACAAAAGTCGAATATGATGGCTACCTCTCACTGACTTCAGATAGCTTAGGGCATGCCGTAGGTTTTTCATCATGTTGCAGACAACACATTCCCAATTTGATCACAGATACTGCATAAAACTATGAGTCTAATGTGATAATACCTTACTCTAAAAAGGTGCGACCAGTCAATTATGCAATTACAGCATTACATAATGATTACTATAAAGCAATGCTTAATACACAAGACAATGTAATGTTTAGTATCACGTATTATTACCCACGTGGTCAACGTATGGGTAGTTGCATATTAATCTCGTACGTCACACGAGTGTCGTATCGCGTTGACCTGTGTCGTAACGACTTGACCTGAAATTCTAACGATTTGATTGGATAACCGATGACCTCTCAATTAGGTCACATTCTGACGTAACTATTTTTTCATTCATAACAAACACGTGAATTCATTCATTCTACAACTTAAATGCATTGTGGGAATGTAAACATTGCGAACGTTGCCGTGTCGCTGTTTCATTGTAAGTCGAACTGAGACATTATATCTGTCGAAAAACATAAACGCAAGGTTTCAACCAGTGATGTCATCCGAATGAAGCAACTGGAAACCAAGAAACGAGGTGCAACGGAGTAGTTTACTGTAGGAGGCTGTACGAGGCCATGACAACTGATATGCATCGTGACGTCGGTTACCATGGCAGTGACGTCATTAGTGTGACGTCATGCAAATATTGTACTACAGTACAAAACTCTTCCGCAACCTCTTTATGAAACCGGTTTCGGTTTGAAACCAAAAACATAACAAAAATACGCTATTTTGTCAATTAAAATGCATGTAAGACGTGGGTAATAAATAAAATACCACACTCGGTCTCATTACATACGAATTATACGAAACTCGTGACCTTCCTATGCTATCTGACCTCGCTTTCGCTCGGTCAGATACCATAGGAAGGACACTCGTTCATATAATTCGTATGTAATGAGACCTCGTGTAGTATTCTCTATTTACACGAAACTTGCTCGTCTAATGAGAAGGAAAAGCATAGTCCAAAGACATTATGAACTTTTGACGAGGAAACCTGTTCGATAAACTTTGCTTCACATTCAAACACCTATATAACACACACCACCGAAGCACAGGTGATAGTGTGAATGGCTATAAATCAAGAGGTTGAGGCTAAGTATCCAGCCGAGGTTTAATTATTTATAGTGTTTTACTACACACGACAGGAAGCTAACCATGAAATATATATGTTTACTACGATTTACCCTCACTATGCAAAGGGACTGTCGACAAGAAATAATCCGTCCAAATTACTTGTCGACAGTCCGGGAAAAAGGTAGTGATGTTCTACATGAGTGACTTCACTACCAGTGTTCTCGAAATTAGCAAACCAATTAAAACAGAGAGATATATATAGTAGACAATATAGTTATTCAGTCAATATAACAACATGCATGTATCATGCATGTATCATATGTCACACAATATAACATATTTGTATATATATTTCATAAAGCTCACACAATATATATTGTGTGTGTGTTTTATATAAATAAGTGATTTCTGCAGGTGTATAAGTAATAAATATATAAAAGATGAGTCCAGTTATTTCTTCTTACCAAAACTCCTTTATATGTGCACTAAAGTAATCTGAATGTTCAGCCAAGATGAAGCAACTGCATGACACATGGTCTGTGTAATTCAAATCTGTCGGCAAGAAGGTCGGCCTTCAAGGATCGAATCCTAGCGTCGATCATTCGGTAGCGACGTCTACGGACGGGATCTTTCTGCTGTCCTTGGATCTGCTGAATTTTTACTTCAGTAGATGACTGTTCTTTTGTAGCATTCGCACAACCTCAAATACATTCGGATGTGTCTTCATGGCATACTTGTTGAATTGGTTGTGCCAACCTTCCAAATTATTGTTATATCTGTGTCCATCATTTTCAAAATAATTCCAAGTTGGCAGAGTCCATGGACCTTCTACCAAGGTGGTAGTAACGTAATCCATCAGCTGTGTCGCCTTTTCACCTAGTGGGGCGTCTGCAGAAATGAGGGACAGGTTGCATCTGTACATCTCCAGTATGTTTTCTGAGCTCTGCGTCTGTTGACTCTGTACTTGAATCCATTGTGGTAAAGATTCTGACCTCTATGAATGTTGTCAATCAATGTAACCCGCACCATAGCATTTGCCATTTTGACAGTGGTAACAAAATATTCATGATCTATTATATATACCCAAATGCTAAATGTTTACAACAGGATTTCGATAATCCTTCTACTCCCAATATCACAAAATATTTTGTAAGCTCTCTGTTTCTTTCCGGATGTTGTTGCATGTTCAACTCCAAAATGGTAATCCTTCCACTCGTATCACGTAAAATAATAGTCTGTTTTGCAACCTTAATTCTCTTGCAAATTGTTAAAAGACATTCTGTTTAATCAACTTAATTCATTTACTCATGATACGAGCATTGCTGTAGCTGCCATAGCCACTTGCAAACCGCTAAGCAAACATTCTCTTTCATTAATTAACACCGTCACGGTATGTTGACCACGCGATGTCGACACTCCGGGTTTTTGTTTTGTCGACCGTTAGCAACATCCTATTTTTTTTCATTTGTCGACAGATCGGGCTGACACCATGCAAAGGCACCCTATTCATATGTCCCCATCAAATGCTTTAACTACAACAAATGGAGAAAGCGCCCCACATCTGAAATTAATTTCACAATTCTAAACTTGTTTAGATTTGTGTTTAGGTTTTGGACACATTTTGTTACAGTGTAACACCTGCTATACAATATTTCAACATGTTATCAACTGTTTCTATCGACTTTCATCATTCACACAATTATCATGCGGAGTATTGTTAAAAGTACATGTGTTAAAGAATAACATTTCCTAATCCAGTACGATTTATAATGTGTATATAATACACAGGCGAAGTATTTGTTAAAATACTGCTCCGAACATGAATATGGTCAAAGACTTTACATTACTTGAAACACCTAAAAGGTGAAAAATCCAATTGTAAATTCTCACACTATCACAACGTTTGTATCCCTGTTGCTGTGTATCTTGTTCGTACCACATCTTACTGTACCACTGTAACACTGTAACACTGACCTGATCTGCTGCTGCTGCTGCTGCTGCTGCTGCTCCCGCTTCTGTTACAGCCGTCGACGAGAGTGAACAGGGATGTGACCCCCAGACTCACCAGGAGGACAAGACTCCACCTCATCCTTCCTCGTTTCTGAAAAAAGATCCATTTCAGTTCAACATAGGAACCAACATAAGGTAAGATGAGGTTCAAAATGAATACGAAAAGAAAGGTATATCTTATTCAGAAATAATACTACAAAAATAGAATTGTTACAGAAACATGTTATTGCTTGCCTTGGTGTTCAGATAAAATGGAAATAGGAGAATAACACTTTGTTTTGATCGACTGGCTTGTTTTGAAAAATTGGCCTTGGTATTCAACCACAAAATAAATAATGCAGTTTCTTCATACGACATGGTTAATAACAATAATAATAATTAGTGAATTTATAAAGCGCTAAAATACTCCAGGTACTAAGTGTCTGCTCTAAGCGCTATGATGAGTATATACACGGTATTTAAAATGAGTAGGAACGCAGAAATCTAGCAGTGATAGTATTTTCGGAAAAGGAAGGTCTTTAAATGAGATTTGAAGTTGTCTAGGGTTGGTGACAGTCTGATACCATGGGGAATAGAGTTCCAGAGAGAAGGAGCAGCATAGCTGAAAGAGCGGTAACCAAATGACTTCATTTGGTGTTTTGGTATCTCCAGAAGATGAAGATTTCCTGATCTTAATGTTGTCACAGTTAGATAACTTGGCGCAGTTGAGTGAAAGTACTGATAAGCAAGTGTGAGAGTCTTAATTTCTATTCTTGCTCGTACTGGCAGCCAATGCAAGGACTTCAAGACAGGCGTGATGTGAGAGCGCTTCTTTGTTCTGCTGATGAACCTTGTACCAGTGTTCTGCACCTTCTGCAGCTTTGTGAGGAGTCTCTCTGCCAAGCCGTAATACAGACTGTTTCAGTAGTTTAAACCTGATTGGACTAACGAGCGTACAAGGACACATGTGGCTTCTCTGGAGAGCATTTGTCGAATGTGACCAATGTTGCGAAGATGGTGATAGCAGCTTGTGCAAGTGTTGGTAACCTGGCTCTCCATTTGCAGATCAGAGTTAAATGGTTAGATCAGATGGTTAAATGTCAATACGAAATGTTGATGTTACAAAAAATAATAATACTAAAATATTTTAAGTAGATGCTAATTGTTAAGTATAAAAACAAGAGATTTAATCGATATCAGGAGCCACATGGCCAAGGACACAATACAGCAGACAACACCTGTGCACAGGAGCAGGTGGATCAAACCTTATGCTATTGTAAAACAATTATCCATCATATATTAAACGGACAGGTTTGTTTTCAAATACATGACAGTAATTTTAATTAACTTCACATTTCTGTTGCTAATACTTCAATATATTACATTGCATTGTACATGGGGATGTCTGGTTTTATACTTTCCTTGTAACATGGACAAACTAAGCTGAAATAGTTTTCATCTTCAAATGTATATATGATGGCATTTATTGCGCTTCAGTAAATATTGACATAGTCATTGTAATGAATGTTGTGAATTCTCAGCTTGTGGCTCAGACATTGGAATTTACATAAGATCGCAACCTGGGCATAACTTCATTGTGGATTTCACTGGAGTTTTGACTAGAATAATGGTTTAGAAATGGTGGAGAAATATCTTTAGCGTGACGATTTTTATGCAGAAGCATGTACAGTGTGAATGACCCCCCTAAAATGTACGTACAAAGTAAGTGACCCCCCTTGCATACCATGTGCAAACTCAATGACCCCCCCCCTCCCAAAGACTTTTAAGCATAACTTTGAAATACTTTATGTACAAATTTGCTGACCCAAATTTGCTGACCCTCCTAGTACATATGTAAAAAATTGCCCCCCCCCTCACCTACCTCCCCAGAACAAAATGGGTGATCCCCGTTAAATTCATCATCGCCCTCCTGGCCATACCTTATGAACGGACCCTAACACTTAAGTTCGTTCTACCCAGTTCACCCAGATACCTCCATATTAATACATAAACGTCGTTTGAAGAAATACTTTTTCACTGTCAAATATTATCGACCCTACACTTTGAGACACTACTGGCATCTGTTTACCATTATAAATACTGTATTTCTTTGGGTTTGTTGTATTTCTTTAGGTATCCACCATTTCTAACAACAATATATGACTAATTCCCATTTATGACAGTAACATTTTATAGTTTTAAGTTTTCTTTATATCTGTTTCATCAATCAATGTTACATTATCTCTGACAAACACTCCTCGCAGTCCAGGTTTCTTCATTTCGTCAACTAGCCCATTTATATAAACATATAAATATCACATCACTTTACATACATCTTTGGCGTACTCCAGTTAATGTTGTGATTATTTCAGTTTTCGAACCTCCTATTTTAACTCGAGGTGACAGCTTATAACACATGTCTTTAAAATTCTAAACATTTTCCAATGTACACCTTTTATAACAAATACATACACTAGTGTATTTCCATCAACAGATCAAATACATTTCAAACCCATGAAAGCTGCAAAAGATCTGTGTTCTGCTTGCTCAAATGCTTCTGACATGTATAAAGATTGAGCACAAATACACTTCATCTATCAAGTGTTGAATAGCCATTTCTGAAACCTGCTTACCATTCATGAAATACTTCATGTACCTGTAGCTAAATCCGTCCTCTGGTTTCAAGAACAGATTTGACATTGTACCCATAGTGAATAATTTAATAAAGATACACCATGATAATTATTTGGATCAAAAACATCCCCTTTTCATACATTGGTGTAATCATACCGACATTCCAACTATCGGGGAAAATCCGCCATCCAATACAACATTGAATAACATTTCTAAATAGGATACAGTAGAGTTAGCATATTATAAAATGTCAGGTGGTGTACCACTCATACCCGGAGATTTGCCCAATTTATGTGACTTGATCGAATTCTCAATCTCATCTCCGGTAACACGTCCTGAACGATATCGTTACTGTTACACGTAGTTCATTCTTCATCTTGATGTCATATAATCATTGACACAATGCTGTCACAACTAGTGGTTAGATAGCTTCAGTGCTTTATGTTGATGTTTACATATTTTGCATTAGATTTGTGGTTAGTTTACTATTCGGCTTTTGCCCCAGTGAAGAAACACACTTTACCGAGCCTCTGACTCCTGCATGTTGTCACCTCCGAGGAACACGGCTTGGTGTAAAATCCTCGGCAGATTCTCGAGCCGACACCAAACTCAGATATTTTCAGAATTCTGTGGATGAACAACCCTGCAGTCACCACGCCATCACTGAACCACCACCAAGGGTTCAGTAGCATGGATAATTATAGTGATATACCGTCTTCATATGCGACAACGGCTGCCGATAACGTGTAAAACACAGCGACTTTCATCAGACCAATAAGATCAACGTCATGTACCCGTGAAGATCCGGGTTAGAATCGAACTTCAGTAACCCATGTATGTCGTAAGAGGCGACTAACGGGATCGGGTGGTCAGGCTCGCTGACGCAGTTGACACATGTCATCGCATCCCAGTCGCGTAGATCGATGCCCATGCTGTTGATCACTGGATCGTCTGATTATTTATAGGCCGCCGCCATGTAGCAGGAATATTGCTGAGTGCGGTGTTAAACTACAGATTCTTGCCAAAAGAATTCGGCACTTGACGTAATTTCCATAGACTAGCATAAATAATTGTCATGAATTTAATTTTCATAAGATCCAAGTCAAATTTTGCTCATTTGTGAGGAATCATTTCACCTACAATCACATAATTTCTGTTTAAAGGCCACATGCAACGTAAAACTCAACTTTTCAGATTCTGATACCTTTTGGTATGGACTTACCGAAACAAATAGTCAAAAATGCAAATTCAACTTATAAAGATGAAAAATAACGCGATGAAAAAAAACGCGCGAAATCGGAGTTCAAACGTTTCACTAATTTTCCCCAGACTTTTCTGGGGAAAACGGGTTTCAACAGCTGGGCTGCGCTCATAGCACGTGGGCAGTGAAATAGGTTCGCGCAGCTTGGACGTGGGTTGTCCGGTGAATACTCGGTGAAGGCTTTGGTGTGAGCTATTTTTCTAATGTTGTGTTGATATCTCACAGGCGCGAGCTTTTTATATGTTATGACAGTAAATTAACTGTTTATATAATTTTCACCACACGTTCTTCTTACCGAGTCACTTTCTCAGTTCGATACTTAACAGCAATGTCATTATTTAGCGTTGACAGAATTTCTAACTGTGATATAGATATGTCGTTGTCACAGACAAAACTCAATGTCTTGTTTTATTGACACCTGTGTGTCTGCCTGCCTGTCTGCTAATGACAATATTCAATACACAGCTGCTATCACTGACCACATGCAATTTGAACTTAACATTTGAACTTGCATTGATTTATGGCCCGAGTTCGGTCTCTGTCACATTATGTAATTACACAGACAGGCAGGTGTGATAGTTGAACACATGACATGTTTTGATGTCTGTTGATTGCAAAATGTTATACACAAAAAATGAGCATGTATTTACAAAACCCAACATCTCTACATACACACACACAATAGGCCGTGAGGGCATCTGCAAATGAACCAGCCGTTACACTTGAGTGCACACCCACCCGCTCTGACTGGGTTCGGTATCCCGGCTGCTTCGTTTCTTTGGAAGTAAACCGAAGTACACAATATTGCACTTTTGATTTGCGATTGTACGCTTATAATTTTGTTTATATGTTTTTTCATAACCAGCAATGTATATTATATGTCATGAATAAGTGATAATTGTGTTTTAATTATGTTTGATTTTTTTGGTTGCATGTGACCTTTAATTTTCCGTTGCTTATTTATCGAATGGCAACAATTTAATCAACATGTGTACAGTGCCGTGAACACCTTTAACATGGCGGCCTATGTGATTGTGCATTCTGGAATCATACCTAAGTTGATAAATGTGATGTCATTACTTAAATAGTGATCGGAGAATTGAACTGAAATTATGTGCGCAGAGCAGAGATGATTTCAAATTTGACTGTCAAATTTTACAAAGATCCTAAACTCACTTCATGAAAATTATTTATGCTACACTGAAATAGCATGTAAG